CCCATCTTAACACATGTTGAAAGAAATGAAGGCGTCAGAACAATGCTCAAACAAGGCCAAGAACACATACAATGGAAACATATGCCATCTCATGTTTTGGTGGCAAGAATCAATAGTTTTATCCATTGAAGAAAAACTCCAGAAACTAGGTTAGGTAGTGAAAGAATACATGATGTTACCAAGACTGTGTTCACTAATAAAATAGCTTTTGCTTTAAAATAGTTTCACCCAAAGCCCTACCAAATTGTAATTCCTACATCTACTAATAACACCAGTTTTACTTGGACTGTTACTCCTAGTACTAAACAAGCGGCACAAACAATTAGGATTCTCTTTTTGTCATTTTTGGTGGGGGAAGCATGCAGGTATCCAAGCCAAAGAAAAAGAGAACATTATCTCATAACAAAAGCACAATTAACACTTAAATAATGATTACCTGAGGGATCATAGCAGGAGGAGGTTGCCCATAAAACAGTTGCTGTCCGATGCCCGGAGCACCAGGAGGATACATCGGCATACGTGGAGCAATCGAAGGTGGCATTGCAACTGGCCGCATTTGCGAAAACTGGGCCTGCAATTGATAAAGAAAATGAATAGAACTCATGGTAAAAATATTTTTGCAAAGCTCAATTACGTCCATTTCTATAAATTGAAAATTAAGGCATATGACAGAAAATATTAAGAAGCCAAACACAGCCTATTTAATATCTCATAGACGAATAAAAAGATAAAAATGTTATTACAGTAATTTACAAAGGGACAAGCTCGCCTCCCCACCTCCTTGGGTACAATACTGCAGCGGGGAGGACTGTATGGTCGCATATTATTGAAATGGGGTAGGATTGGTTACCACATGGACACTCCCAGGAATGTACCATACCAAACACAGGATCATTAAAAGGCTAAGGAAGGCTTATTTCATTCCAAACCCATTTCCAGAATAACTAACAAGTGCCACCTAAATAACAAGCCAAACTTGGTATTGTGTCCATGAAAGCATGAAAACGACCCTTTCCCAAATGGTTTTAAAGCACTAGAAAACAGAAGTTGAGAAAATGGGGCTACAAATAATTCAATATTATTGAAGATACCCAGTAATAAAAGATTCTAAATAAGATACAGCGAAAAATTTTATGCCAATGTGAACCATAAAGAGAACGATATAGGGTTACCAACAAATCAGTGCAGCTAGGTTGGTATTTGTTTCTTGGACGATATATATTTCTGATTAAATTTACCTGTAACCTAGCCCTTCTCTCTTCTTTTCGCTGCGCAACTGCAACATATAATGGCTTGCTAACCACCATTTTCCCATTCATCTCAGTAAGCTAAAATTAAAAATTAAAAAGCCACTACATCAGCTGTCATTACAATATAAAAGATATAAACCGCAACAGCATCACTTATGCTGTGCAACTTACTGCTCGAGAAGCTTCTTCAGGAGTAGAGAAGGCAACAAATCCAGATCCTCTGCTTACTCCACTAGGATCTTGCATAACCTGTGATACAAGCAAAATAAAACAATATTCACAACTGAATCATTCACCAAACGACAAATAAACAGAGAACCAACAAATGTTAAAATTCTCGATTCAGTATCTTCTCTTCAAGAACATGAACATACCTTGCATGATGTAATTGAACCGAACTCCGAAAACATTTCCTTCAGTTTTCCGTCATCAATGCTATCATCCAAATTTTTTATATATAAATTAACTCCTTGGTATTTGTCTACAGCTTCCTTGGCACTCTGCTCAAATCGACTTTTGAGTTCTTGCTCTCTTTCGTATTTCTTCTGGGCTTTGCCAACGTACCACTCCTTATCATCAATTTTTGCCCCATTTAGAGCTTCAACAGCTTTTGCAGCATCATCGGCAATTTCAAAATTGACAAACCCAAAACATTTTGACTTTCCGTCTGCATCCCTCATGATAACAGCACTAGTAATTGTTCCATATTCAGCAAAAATTTTCTTCAAATCATCATCTGTAGTAGACTCTGCCAGATTTTTCACATAGACATTATTGAACTTCGTCCTGTCTGATACTGATTCTCTCTCCTGCTTACGAAGGAAATGTCCCACATACACTTGCTTATCATTAATAAGCATGCCATTTAGCTTGTCTATTGCATTTTGTGCAGATTCTGCATTTTCAAATTGGACAAACCCATAGCCTTTTGATTGGCCATTAGGATCTGTTGCTATCTTGCAGGAAAGAATGTTCCCAAAGCTCGAAAATGTGTCATGTAATGCTTTGTTATCAATTGATTTGTCCAAATTCTGCATAGATCAGTGAACATGTAACTACAACAGAGAAAAAACAAAAGAGATATGGAAGCCAGTAAACAAAATGCCAATCCCAAGTGAACAATCCATTCTGCAGATCATTAGTATATCCATGTGGAGCAAAAACAACATAAAGTCAATTCTCCATATCTTCCTAAAAGGTAAAAATTGTAAATTTCAAGGCAACAAATACAAATGTTAGTATTAACAAAGAAATGCGAAGCTGGAGACTGGAGGGAAGTTGAAAATCAAAGTTATTCTGAACGGAGCATTAAAAAAAAAAAAAAAAAAAAAAAAAAAAAGATCCGACGTCACCATAATAAGGGGACACATAAAGTGACTAACATATTCCATATACTAAACACAGTGCAGTAAACTTCTGATGGAGCAGAGCGCCAGACTAAAATCAGAATGCTTAAAATCAAGAAAGGAAAAAGATCGAAAAATAAATGGCACATGAACATGGTTCTTACCTTTATAAAGATATTTGCTGCTCCACTTTTACGGATACTGGGATCCCGATGAGAATACATGATTCTAATTGACCTGTTATTGAGAGGAGTGAAGTTTAAAACCTCCATAGCCCTTGCCGCTGTATACCAGGTAAACAGAAAAGACCTCGGTCATTGACTAAAAACAAATCATTTCATTCTCAGTGGAAATAAGAAATGAGAGTAACAAACAATATTTCACAACAGGACAGGGCAAAAGAGACATTGCGAACAACTTCTCAGAGCCATCCACACACATGCACAAGCAGTCACATTATCAATGGCAAAACAACTTATGTGAATTATACTTTCTTTAAAAAAATCTATAATCCCCGAAGTCTACAGAAGGAAGCCTTTCTGTCGGAGCTCATAGTTTGTTCTCTTCATATTTAACAAACATTCAGAAGGCTAGATCAGAGAGAATGCAGTTCAGCTCCATGATACAGAACTTCGGGGCACTTTGAAGCATAAGCCACAACCAATAATATAACTAAATTGACCAACTATTTGCTAGACTTTCTTGCGGGAAGGGGGCTAGCATTACAGTTGCAGAAGTAGACGAACAGAGTACACTTGGGTTCTTCATTTCTTCTCTTCCATTCTTTAATCTCCAGATCCTTTTTCTTTCAGTTTTTAAAGTTGTTTGTGTTAAACAGAACCCAAAAATACCTTCAAACGTCATAAGTTACTTAAAAAACCAGCACAAAAACTGAAGATGGTAAAACTATGAGGTTCTTGAAAACAAAACATTCGACCTGTTTACGATCACCTTACACATGATTATTAAATGCACAAAAACTACATATATGCTAACGCCATTTAATGAAAAGCATGAAATGACATGAATTAAGATGAAAAATCCCAATACATGCATAATATAATTTGCAAAGTTCAATAATTGTTCCTGACTCATTGCAAGTACGAGCAAAATAACGATGACAAAATTTGAAGGGTCCAAATGAGATAATATAACAAAGTCCAAAGCTCATCACATTCTTCTTCTTGCGTCTCAATACAACGAAAGTTTGGTAGGCACACATGAAATATGATTCAACACATGAAGCTTGTAAAGCCTTTTAGACGAGCTTATTTGCTAATAAATTATAGAACCAAATTAAAAATACAATCTAAGCATGCACAAAATCAGCTCAGATTATAATGAACCAGACAAGATGGACCATGTTCACAACTTGTTATAAAAAAACCCTGCACAAGAAGGCTCATTTAAACTGGAATGACCAAAACTCAAATTTATTCAGATAACAATAGAAAGTCTCACCATTGTATCAGTTAACTTCAACTTCTTAAAGAGTAATAATTTAACATTTGAAAATTCGATCCAAAGTTTGTCCACACAAGAGATATAACGAAACTAAACTGACAGGCACCTGCAGAATAGCAACTGAGCTACACATTCAATCAAACATTTATGAAAGGTTACCCCAAAAAGATTCACAACACAAATTTCAAGACCCAAAGTTGCATTAAAATAGATAAACAAATGCGCTCACCGTCGATAACTCACCATCGCCAATTAAGACGCGCAACCAAAGGGTAATACAAAATCTCGGAAAATATGTTCATAAAAGAGAAGCCGCATCCAATGAAACTACATCTATACACAAATCTGTTAATAAACAAATCACTAACCATCCTGGGGGCTGCTATAGTTGACGTAACCATAGCCAAGGCTGCGCCGAGTGCTGAGGTCACGACAAACCCGAACAGAAACAACCTGACCGACCTGGTTAAACAGATCGTAGAGCTGCGAGTCCGTCACAGTAAAATCCAAGTCTCCCACATACAGTGAAGTCGTCGGAAACTGGCTGGCCCCTCCACCCGGAGCGGCCGCACCCGGCGTCACCACCACTCCATTCGGACCAGCCGCTGCATTCTGGTGCTGCACCTGAATCTGCGCCATTCCTTCCAAACAGGAAAACTGACCCTAAATCCTCAGGTTTCGAATGAAATTTTTTTTTTTTTTTGGGGTGATTTTTGCCTACTAATAAACTGAAAATTAAATAACAAGATAGTTCAAAAAGGGGGGAATTTGGGGGTAAACTGATACGATCAAAGGATAGATAGAGAGAAGGAATTTTTGGGGTTTTTTTTTTTCCTTTGGGAGGGCAGGGTTCTGCACCGCACTCGACACGAATGGGGCTGCGAAGAATATATATGTGGGTGGAAGTTTTAAGAAACCCTAGCTGGAAATGGAGTCGAATCTGGATCGTCCGATGGGAGGACCAGGGTGCGCACGATATGAAGACACGCGTGAAATCCGGACCAGCGTGATTCGATGTGACATGGTCAAATTTCGACCGTCGAAATCTCCAGTTTGTGTTTGGGTTTTGGCTTACTTGACGTCTCCAACCCCATCCCATTACACCATAATTCATCGAATTGTGCCAAATTTCAAGTGCAAATCACCCTTTAACTAATGGCACCACTTTAGTGCAAAATTGTTCAAATGAATAGTATTGTTAAATATCTTTTCACCTTCTCTTCCACTTTGTACCAATTTTTGTTAAAAGTATATATGTCCATTTGTTATACAATAAATTTTAATTCTAAATTATTATTATTATTATTATTATTATTATTATTATTATTATTATTATGTGCATTTGTAATAAATATTAATCATTTAATCAATAATAATTAGTTGTGAATACTATTTCGATTTTCTAATATCATGATATTGTGATTCAAAACGTATTACACTTTTAGTATTACTAGTGAGGAAAATGTACGTTGCACGTTAATTGGTGAATGTTCTATATAAACATATGGTGGTTGTTGAACAGACATGCACAACAGTACTTTATAAATTGAAATTGAATAAAATAGACACAAGAAAGACATACAAGCAAATTGCAAAAAATTATCGTCGTTCTTTGAATCCACCCATCAACAATGTCATTTTAAGAATGAATATATACAGTGAAAATAGTCGAATATTTGCAAGCTCAATTAATGCATACGATTTGAAATAGTCATATAAACCAAGTATAAAATTATTTAAAAAATACACTAAGCCACTGAATAAATTTTAACGTAATCATGGATAAATTCCATTACTCACCCAACTTTTGAAGCACAATTCAAGTAAATGGCGATATTCACAATCAAAAATGTATTTGGTTAAATAAGAAAGTTATTATCCCAATGCATTAGCAGTTCAAGATTATGAACAATAAAAATCTTGCAATAATAACCAAAAAAAAAAATCCTTACATAGTCTTGCTCAATGTGGAGGGAAGAAATAACAAAAGGTAAGCATCAAGTTAAGCTATAACAGTCCCATGATAGAGCTACAGACTTGATCTTTAGATAAGTTGCGAGATGATCCAAACCACAACTTTAAAGACACTCCCTTCAACAATTTACTTCGTTTAAAAGATTTGGACGTTGTTTCCAACACAATCAAGTGCTTGTTATTTCTCATGCAATCACAAACTCTAAACCTAGAAAAGGAAGGAAAAAGTAATATAGAGTAGCGAGAAGAGCTTGTCAACATTCAAATGAGGTCTCCAGCTCTATTAGATACATAATTATAATTTTTAAAGTTATCCCATCTTCCTCTCAATAAAAGAGAAGTTGCTTTTGGTAGGAATATTTCATTTTATTAACTATTCACTACTCAAATCGCTAATTCAGGGGCAATAAAGAGCATATCAATACTAAGATGATTAAGTTTAGAGCTCATAAACCAAAAAAAGAAAATCCTAAAAATGAGATGATACCTCTAGTAACAGTGAAAAGGACTTCTTGTCGATTAAATTTTGAAATATTTCTCTGTAAACCCTTCCAAGGAAGTCAATTGGAGTATGTCATTTAAAAAAGGCAACCAATTTACCACGACTCATAGGAAAAAAGTTTTAAGCATCAATATCATGAATCATGCTGACAATATAAGTGTTTTTTTTTCTTTCCGAACTTGAAAATCTGTAAACTAAAAGAATAATAAGATTGAAATTTATCAAGTCGCCAAAAGTCATATTTCCATTTATAATCCCATTGAGAATAAAAGATCTTAGCTGCAAAAAGTGTTATACTAGATATCAAATTCTAACCAAAGTTTAAATATTGCTAGGTATCAAATTCTGACCAAAAGTGTTATGCCAGATATAAAAAATGATTTGTAGTTGATTTTTCAAAGTCGATGAAGGGGAATAATGCTATTTGAATATTCGTTGATCAATTGGCAAAGACATCTCACTATCTTCCAGCGAAAATGACGTTTAGTATAAGTCAATTGGCACAACAATACACTAGAAAAATAGTCCGATAGCATGGAGTCCAAATATCCATTGTTTGCGATAGAGACTCGCGGTTTGCCTCTAAGTTCTAGAAATGCTTACATGAAGTATTGAGAATGAAATTTACTTTTAATACAGTTTATCATTCCAAGTTAGATGGTCAATCTGAAAGAACTATTCAAATATTGGAAGATATGTTGCATGCTTCTGTATTAGACCTAGGAGGGAGTTGGAAGCTATAACAACAATTTCTAATGTACCGTTGATATGGCATCGTACGAAGTTCTCTATAGTAGAAATTGCCAATCACTGGTTTATTGGGATGGAGTTAACGAAAAGAGAATTTTAGGTCCCGAAATCAATGAACGAGCAGTTCTAGCAATCGATAAGATCAAAAATCGCATAAAAACAACTTAAGATCAATCGAAAAATTTAGTAAACAATTGAAGAAAGGACCTGAATTTTGAAGTTGGTAGAAATGTCTTCTTAAAAATGGTTCATATAAAAAGGGTGTACTAATGTTTGATAAGAAGCTTGCCACGCGTTTTATATAACGTAATTTTATACCGCAAGCGCACGGTGTCAAGTTTTGTAGTATATTAAAGAATTGAAACGTGTCGAACCCACAGGGATTGATATTCGACTTCCACTGAGTACTATAATTGTATCCGCGTTTACTTTATCTAGACAATCGAGTGTTAAATTAATGTTTGAATACTAAACTAACGTCAATGAATTAAATAGTGCAATAAAAGTGAGGCAATTTCTAAAGACTAAATCAAACTTACGTAATGTCTAGGGAATGATTTCACCATATTCTCAACATAATTCTCAATCCCTATGGATATTTCCATCAACTATTTCCCGAATTCATAGGCAAGAATCCTAAATTAATTCTATTTCTCCCTCTCGAGCGTCAAATAGAACCTATCTCTATATTTTAACCCCAATATCTCTATTCCAAATTAAATATATAAAGATTATCATGCACTTGGTTCTTCTTTTACCCTCAAAGATTCGTACTTTCTCTCGAAACCTACAAACCTAGGTTATATTGTTCTTAGATCACGCCTAAATTTCCCCCTCTCGAGCGTCAAATTTAGAACATCAATTCATTCAATTGGTGATCAGGAAACTGAAAGCATTAAGCAAGAACAATACAAATCAATTCTGAAAAATTAAATGAAAATACTATAAAGAAATTGAATCATGTCTCAAATAGGTTACATCAAACCCTAGATTTAATAACTTAGTTCATGATTGAGAAGAAGAACATGATAAAATACAAATTAAATCGCATGGAGAAGAGAAAGATAAGAAAAAACTCATGTTGCTGCTCTATTTCTCAATCTTGTGGCTTGATTTCTCAATTTTTCCCTTCTTCTTCTCCAAAATCGGGTCGGTCTTCTCTCAATTGGTGCCTCTCTTTTTCTTGCCTCTTTAGCCATCTAACCCCTTTCTCTTGTTCTTCATCTAGGTATTTATATTTTCTAAGGATCCTCAAGGGTTAGGGTATGATTTTTGGGCCGAAAAAATACTTAAAAACTCGGGTTTTAACGTTTTGGGAACAGGCGCCATGGCGCCTAGGTCTGGCGCCGTGGCGCCCAAGTCTCTGCTCGCTTTTTCATTCATTGGGAGCCATGGTGCTCAGGTCTAGCGCCATGACGCCCAAGTTTCTGCTTCAGTTTCATCTCATGGCGCCCCTTTTTCGGCGTCGTGGTGCCAATGCCACTACTTTGTTTCTCTTCTCTTTATTTTTCCAAGCCTATTTTCCACTCCAATATTATTCAATCCTTGCTTATTCATGCTCCATTTCATTGATCATC